GGGCGAGCCTGAGGCGACCAGTGCAGCCGACGGACAAGCGAAAACAAACAGAAACCAAACGAAACCAAGGACTGGGGCCAGCCGGGGTGCCGAGCGACCGAAAGGCGGCGGGCGTGCGCAGGGCGACCAGTGCAGCCGACGGACAAGCGAAAACCAACAAAAACAAAGAAAACCAGCGAATCTGGCCAGCCGAGGGGCCGAGCGACCGCGGGGCGGCGGGCGAGCCTGGGGCGACCATTGCAGCCGACGGACAGGCGAAAACAAACAAAAACAAACAAACCCAACGAATTGCGCCAGCCGAGGGGCCGAACGACCGCGGGGCGGCGGGCGAGCCTGGGGCGACCAGTGCAGCTGACGGACAAGCGAAAACAAACAAAAACAAACCAAACCAAATAATGGGGCCAGCCGAGAGGCCGAGCGACCGCGGGGCGGCGGGCGAGCCTGGAGCGACCAGCGCAGCCGACGGACAAGCGAAAACAAACAACAACAAACAAAACCATGAATGGGGCCCGCCGAGGGGCCGAGCGACCGCGGGGCGGCGGGCGAGCCTGGGGCGACCAGTGCAGCCGACGGACAAGCGAAAACAAACGAAACGAACAAACACACAGAAATCGACCAGCCGAGAGGCCGAGCGACCGCAGGGCGGCGGGCGAGCCTGAGGCGACCAGTGCAGCCGACGGACAAACCAAAACAAACAAAAACAAACAAAACCAAAGAATTGGGCCAGCCGAGGGGTCGAGCGACCGAAAGGCGGCGGGCGAGCCTGTGGCGACCAGTGCAGCCGACGGACAAACGAAAACAATCAACCACAAACAAAACAAAGGAATGAGGCCAGCCGAAAGGCAGAGCGACCGCTGTGCGGCGGGCGAGCCCGGGGCGACCATTGCAGCCGACGGGCAAGCGAAAACAAGCAAAAAACAAACAAAACCAAGGAATGGGGCCAGCCGAGGGGGCGAGCGACCGAAAGGCGGCGGGCGAGCCTGGGGCGACCAGTGCAGCCGACGGACAAGCGAACACAAACAGAAACAAACAAAACCAAGGAATGGGGCCAGCCGAAGGGCCGAGCGACCGCGGGGCGGCGGGCGAGCCTGAGGCGACCAGTGCAGCCGACGGACAAGCGAAAACAAGCAAAAGCAAACAAAACAAAAAAATGAGCCAGCCGAGGGGCCGAGCGACCGAGACGCGGCGGGCGAACCTGTGGCAACCAGTACAGCCGAAGGACAAGCGAAAACAAACAAAATCAAACAAAACCAGTGCATGGGGCCAGCCGAGGGGCCGAGCGACCGCGGGGCGGCGGGCGAGCCTGGGGCGACCAGTGCAGCCGACGGAGAAGCGAAAAAAAACAAAAACAAACAAAATCAAGGAATGGGGCCAGCCGAGGGGCCGAGTGACCGCGGGGCGGCGGGCGAGCCTGAGGCGACCAGTGCAGCCGACGGACAAGCGAAAACAAACAGAAACAAACAAAACCAAGGAATGGGGCAAACTGAGGGGGCGAGCGACCGCGGGGAGGTGGGCGAGCCCGGGGCGACCAGTGCAGCCGACGGACAAGCGAAAAAAAACAAAACAAAAAAAAACAAAACCATTGCATGGGGCAAGCCGAGGGGCCGAGCGACCGCGGGGAGGTGGGCGAGCCTGGGGCGACCAGTGCAGCCGACGGGCAAGCGAAAACAAACAAAAACAAACAAAACCAAATAGTGGGGCCAGGCCGAGCGACCGCGGGGCGGCGGGCGACACTGGGGCGACCAGTGCAGCCGACGGACAAGCGAAAACAAACAAAACAATCAAAACCAAGGAATGGGGCCAGCCGAGGGGCCGAGCGACCAGCGTCGCCCAGGGAAGTGACAACCAAACCCTAGAAGTAGATTAGGTTTGCGCCCGCCCCCAAAAAAAACAAAAAATATAGATTCTTGAAATAGGAAGGCGCTTAAAGTAGATTGGGATCTGGGAATCCAAAAATACCTACTTTCAACGACCGGTGGGTACATGTTTTGACTGTGTCATCGAACGCCATCGTGTCACGATCCCCTGAATATTCAACGGCCAAAGGAAACACCTGTGAAAATAACTGCTCGAAGTGCTCTGCATTTGATGAACTGCGCTAGTGGCCCAAACAGAAACATGTTTTCAACCGCAAATCAGTGAAGCGTAGCTGCGCAAGGTAGTTCTGCATGCCAACTGCCTCCTGAACAAACTGTGGTCGAGACGCGGCTCTGGGAGCCTTCCCGGGGCACGGTGCACCCACAAACTAGGTGCGCCGCACGTGCGAGAGCGCAGATACGCGTACACACGCACACACACACACACACACATACACGCACGCACACACACACACACACTTGACCGACGAAGACCGGTTTCTTTAACGGGCGAAGAACGGTATAAAATAAACTGTTTCGCTGTCGGGGGCGCCTGTCCCTGGGCGGCTGGAAAGTGGATACCCTTACGGTGGCACGGTAGGGGTATAAACTTTCCAGCCGCCCAAGGACAGGCGCCCCCGACAGCGAAAAAGTTTATCTTATACCGTTCTTCGCTCGCGGTTTTCTGCGAGATGGCACAACGACCTTGCGCGGAAGCTGACAAGGGCCGCCAGGGTGGCACGCCACGCCGGAAACGAGGGCGCTTGCGCGCGACCTTGCGCGGGCAGCGCACGCGCGAATGTCGGGACAGTCGACCCCCATGCCTTCCCTCGCTCACTGGTTCCTCCGACGTGCTTGCGAGTTCCAGCCAGCGCCATCATCGAGCACGGACGCCAGGAAACTGATCAACATTCAATTGCGTAGTTGGGGAACCTTGTCTGCGCCAATGTTGGGCCAATGCGCCAACCATCCGTATCGCATCCATGGCGGACGCGTCGAATCTGTGTCGAACCGGTGCCGATTCCCTGGCGACTTCACGCCGAATCCTCGTCGAACCCACGTCGGAGCACAAGAGAAAACAACAGGTTACGGGACGGGCGGGGCGCCCCGAACATGCGACGCAATTACGGAAGATTCGCGCGGCGTCGGCGCGCGCAAATGGTTTTTGACACCGCGCCGATCTCTCAACCTTGACTTGATCGCGGTCCCGATCGTTCAAGGTTGAATTCCGTCGGGTCCAACGGCGTCACAGTGTCCCACGGCGCTTCCGCGTCACTCTATCGTGCGGTATTCAACATTGAACGCTCGCTGGCGTCGCCGGCGCGCCATCGCCGCATGAACCTAGCGTAATCGGCCCTCTTGTGAGGCACGATGGCAAGGTCCCAAAGACCTCCGATGGTGAGCCAAACGTAAGTCGGCAACCAGGCAGGACAGTCACGGGCGAGTGCACGCACACCTTTGTCCTCTAACGCGCCACTCGCTATCGCTCGGACGTCCATTCCCCGTGCGTTTCTCGGTTTTTCACGCGTGTGTTGTTGGTCTCGCTCGACGACTCAAGATGCCCCGCGATGGTCCTCGCCGAGAAAATGCACACGTCCGACCGATGCCCAGACCGCGGCAAGGTCCCGAGGTCCCCCGACGGTGGTCCAAACGTGGTCGGCAACCAGGCAAGACAGCCACGGGCATCCCCCCGCAAAGCCGGCCGCCGCCGTCGTCGTCGTCGCCGTCGTCCTCCAGCGCGCCCAGTGTGTCCAGCCCAGGGCTCCGCGATCGGGGAGCCCAGGGGGGGGAGTGAGAGGGGGCAAGCCTCCTCAGAAGGCGGCCAGGGCTTCTCGGAATCCCTCGCGCTGCGTGACCAATGTATCAAGCTTAACCTCGGTAGGGCTTCAGAACCCCCCCAAGTGGTGAAAATTCATTATTTGTTCGGCGGTCGACGGAATGGGGTCCACCAACAGTGACAAATAAATACAGTATGAGCTAGACCACAAGAAACCCGACCCTGAGACCCCAGGACATCAGTTGGTTGTTGGTGTGGGAACGTCACGCCTTCCATTGCAAAGACATCGAAGCCATCGAAGCCATTGGGAGCACCCTGGAGCCAAGCAGGGTGTTTCTTGGCATGGGTTTCCACTGTAATGAAAAACGATCATTTTTTCCCCGCAGTACCCGCCGCGCAACGGCGACGAGGCGGACCAGCAGGAGCAAGAGCAGGAGGAGGAGTGGGAGGAGTAGGAGGAGGAGGAGCAGGAGGACCAGTTTAAACCCAAGAGTCATCAACGATGTTGGAGTAAACCCTCCCTCCACGCCCCCTCTTCATAGGCCCCTACAACGGTTCATTTCCATTGATGGAACTGCGTCGTTGGAAGACACCCGTTTGAAGACCCTGAAGCATGCAAAAAAGTTGTTCTCGAGATTCCAACGCCACGGGTCAACCTGACTGTTGCATCTCGCCGATCCTGAATCGTGTCAGAACGCCATTCCTAGGACTTCTCCACGAAGAATCAACATAAGTGTGGCACCAGCATAATCTTGAATTAATCGACCAAGAACCGGGGGGCTCAAGAATTCAGAACACACCGAAATCGGTCCGGAACCAATAGCCGGGAACCCGGGAACCCGGAACCGGGAACCCGGGAACCCAGCCTGCCACCAAAATCGGCGGGAAACGTTCGCCAAATCTTCCAACTTCCGCTAGGACCCCTTCAGTGCAAGCTCTGATTGGGGAGAAACGCAAAACTGTTGGCATCTGCGGCCCCTCGCTGGTGTCGGGCTGGGCGCAAGGGGGGGATAGCAAAGGGGGGGTTTGAGAATCAGCTCGCGTAGCTGATTTTCCCGGCGCCTCCGGGAGCCGGGAGGGCGCCCATGTGTCGAGGACTGGGCGCCCCTCGCTGGGGCCGAGACCCGCCGCATGCAGCAGATCTCGTACCCCCCCCTTCTGGCCATCGCTCGGACGTCCATTTCCTGTGTTTTTTTAGGCTTCGTGCATGGTTTTTCGCCAAATGATCAAGGATGCTCCTCGATGGTCCTCGCCGAGGGAAAAATACACGCGTCCAAGCGATGCCAAGCTTTCCCTACTCCCCCCCCCTTCGTTCGGCCCAGTGGGGTGCGGGGTGCTCGACCCCCGCAGGACGTGCGCAGGGCGGCCTGAGCTCGCCTGCCGGGATGGAGACCACACAGACCGCGATGATCACGTGCAGGTTGAAGGCCGCGCTGCCCACGATGGTGGAGGGCCTGAAGGGAGCGGTGCGCCTCCCCCTCCCCCCCCCCCTCCTCCTCCTCACTCCCTCTCCTCCTCACTCCCTCTCCTCCTCCTCCTCCTCCTCCTCCTCCTCCTCCTCCTCCTCCTCCTCCTCCCCTCCGTCCCCCTCACGACCAATTCTTCCCTGTCGCAACCAGAGACGGGTCGGAAGGGCGGGCCAGGCGTTGCGCCTGAGACTTCCTCACCACTTCTGATCCTGAAGCTTGGAACTTGGGATAAGTGGAGGGCGGGTCGTTTTCAAAATGTGGCTTTCACCTAACCGCCGCACGCAGTCGCCGGAACAGTTCGCAGCAGCTTCGCGGATGGAGCGCGGGCCGTTTACAACATGCAGCTCTCGCCTTCGCGCAACTTGCTTCCGTCGTAAACTTCCGCAGATGCTTCACGGATGGAGGGCGGACCGTTTTCAACATGTGGCTCTGGCCTTTGCGCCGCACGCATTCTGTCTGAAGGTTTGCGAGAACTTCACGGATGTAGGGCGGAACGTTTCCAAAATGTGGCTTTCGCCTAAGCGATGTCCACGGCCGTCTAAACGGTTTGCAAGAGTTTCAAGGGTGTTATGGTCGTCGCCACAACATTGAGGTTCCGCCAGAATTTCGGATTGTCAAAGCGCGACGGTCATGTTGATTCGCGGTGTCGACATCCCGCAAACAGTGTTCCGGCACGATTTAAGGTCGTCAGGTCGCAACAATAACGTTGGCTCGCAGCGTCGAAGTCGCAGGACCCGCTTGCCGAGGGTAAGAATGAAGGGGCCCTGGCACACACAACTAAATAGATACAAATAACAAGATTCTTCATATTTTCCTATATTTTCAAGGTTTATGCCTTCCCCCCCTCTTCCCATATCTTCCGGTATTTTCTGGGGAATCGACGATAAATGGTGTCTGTGTGTTTCTGTTCCCTCCTGAGACACGGCACGTGACATGATTGACTGTCCCACTCCCCCCCTTCCCCCTCCCGAATGAATCAGCGGAGCCGCACCTAGACGGCGCACTGGCACGAAATGAGTACGAACTCGCACATGCACAGAACATGTCAAAAGCGTATGCGCCATGCAGGGGGAAGAGGTGTGCAATCAACAGCAAACGCTGTGCCGGTGTGCCTTCCCCCTCCCCCGGGGTCCAAAATCTCGTCTACACGGGGGGGGGCATGAACGAGCTCCCCGGCGCCTCCCTGGAGACTCCGAAGTCTCCCCCGCAGACGTTCCAAGACGGCCCCGAATCGCCGGACGACTGGCCCACGACGCCTGCGATGGATCCAAGGCGCCCCAAGACGCCGTCGAGACGCCCCAGGGGCCTTCCAAAGAGGAGACTGGGGCGGATCGCAACCACTCCGGGCAGACCGACGACCACTTCGTACCGAGCACATCCGGCTGTGATCGGGCCGATACGATAGGGGATGTTTCGAGGAACCTGCAGCATTGTTTTGTTTAAGAGAAAGCTCTCAAGAGCGCTTCAGGATGCAGCGAATCCCCTTGGAACCTCCCAACGGATTTCGAGGAACAACGGTTGCGACCGGGCCGATGACCGAGATCACTACATCTATGTTGCTTCATCAATGTTACGATGTCTATGCTTTGCAGTATATGCGGCACAGTGTATGTGGTGCCATGTGGCGCACTTTATGCGGTGCGCAACTGACGCGGCGCAATCGACTTGGTGCAATTCAAGTGGTGCATTATACGTCATCTACGCGGTGTAATACAAGTCGTCCAGTATATGTGGTGCAATATGTGCTGCGCACTCTAATGGTGTATTTTTTTGGTGGGCAATCCGTGCTGAGCAGTCATGCTGGTGTACTATATGTATATATATATATATATATATTGTCCAATCTATGTGGTGCAGTCTGCGTGGCGCAACCGGTGTTGTGGAATCTACGAGGTGAAACCACTTCGACTGTCTTGAAGCTGTCCTCTCCACTGCTCGTGCAAACATCCCACCCTCCCACCCGCAACTTGGTCGCAAGACATCTTCAGACAAGACCGTGACGGTAGGTACTGCGTGGCACTTGGCCACGACACCGATGCCGACGACGACAGCGACATCGACGACGACGGCGCCGCCGACAGCGACTGCGACGACACCGACGACGTCTCCAATGTTTTCGACGACGACAACGACGACGACGACACCGACGACGACGACAACGACGCCGACGACGACGACGAAGACGACGACGACGTCGCCAACGGAGACGACGACGAGGGAGGAGAAAAAACGACGACGGCGACAACGACGACAACGACGATGGAGGAGGGAAGACGGCGACGACGCCAACGACGAAGAAGGAGGAAGGACGGCGACGCCGACGACGACAACGACGAGGGAGGAGGGAAGACGACGACGATGACAACGACGACGAAGACGACGACGACGGCGACGAAATAGGAGGGACGACGACGAGACGCCGACGACGGACGACGACGACGAGGGAGGAGGATAACGACGAGGGAGGAGTGAAGACCACGACGACGACGACGACGACGGACGACGAAATAGGAGGGACAACGACGAGACGCCGACGAAGACAACGAGGGAGGAAGGACGACCACGGCGACAACGACGACGGAAACGACGACGACGCCAAAGACGACGAGGAAAGACAGAAGACGACGACGGCGACGACGACGACGACGACGACGGAGGAGGGAGGACGACGACGACGACGACGCAAGAGCGCGCGCGCACAATTTTGTTGAAAACCCGTGTTGCGAAACCTTGTGTTTTTGTAGGTTTTTTGGACGCACGATTTCGACATTCTTCCGAAACCGAAGGTTTTTGAAGGATTTCGGCATACGCCCGCGACGACGCGCGCGTCTGCACTTCGTCCCATTTTTTGCAGAGGATTCTCGCGACGGCACACGCGCAAGAGCGTTCGACAGATTTCGACATGCGCGCGCGCGAAGCCCGTTTGGTAGCATTTTGTGAAAATCTTGGAAAACCTATGGTTTTCTTAAGATTTCGCAAGAGCTCGCGCGTAAGTTTTTTTTTGTGCATCAAAGTTGCGAAACCATGTGTTTTTATATGTTTTTTGGAAATGCAATTTTGAAATCTCTCCGGAACCGAAGGTTTTTTAAGGATTTCGGCATGCGCGCGCCACGACGCGCGCGTGTGCATTTCGTTTCATTTTTTGCAAGGGATTGCGAACAAGTGTTATGTTAGAACATAACATGTCACCGCATAGTGTTTTTTACAAGGGAACCGCAGGGGGGGGGAACCCGGCTTGGCTGGGATGGTATGAATTCATATTTAGGATGGACATGTGGTCATAATCATATGTAATTTACAGCACGCGCGGGGGACCCGATAAGTCCGGGGGGGGGTAGAATCTATTAGTCTTTTAGAAAGGAGAATTAACATTGTAGATGTGGTGCCATCCGACAGAAGCCAAACTCCTCCATGCAGAAAGAACAGCCCTAAACACCCGGGGAATCCACAATGGACCCATGTACGTGTATATGCTTATCTATGAGAGAGCGCGCCCGTGGTACACTCTGGAAGGGGGGGGTCCCCCTTGGCTACCCCCCCGTTGAACCTCCCCTGCCAGAAGCCCCCCCCCGTCTTTTTTCCGCCCCGCGGGAGCTAACCCCACTCCCTTCCGCGCTCCGGAAGCTACCCCCCCCCACTCCCTGTCCCAAGGGGGGGTTCTTAGCTACTCTCCCCCCCCTTGGAGCCCCCCTCTCCAGAAGCCCCCACTCCCCCCTTATTTCAGCCTCTTGGAAGCTACCCCCCCCTCCCCTCCCTTCCGCGCTCCGGAGGCTGCCGCTCCGAAAGCCACCGCCCCCCCTCCCTCTCCGAAGGTGCTGGGGGGGGGGCTTGGCTCCCCCTTTGAAACCACCCCTCCTGCCGGGAGCCCCCCACCTTCCCCCCCACTTGGGTTAGGTCAGGCATGTCCCCCTACAGGCGGATTCTGGACGAAACAGCCGCCGGCCCCCGTGCGGGGCCATCAGGCTGCGAGGATTAAGGTTGCTGCTCCCTGCGCCAGTTCCAGCTTCCAGTTTCCATTGTTGCAGTGCTGCTTTCTGCTTCCTACTGTAAATTGTTACTGTCCGCGCGAGGGGGGGGGAGCCGAAAAGGGCCCTGGTTAGCGTCCCCTGATAAAATTATCAGAATTTCTGGGGGGGGGCGTGGGACACGTAAATATACGGGAGTTTCGTGCCCCCGAAGCCATAATCCATAGCAGATTACGGTGCTTTCGCGCCACCGAGGCCACGATCCCTTATTAAATTACACAACATTCGCGTCTCTGAAGCCACGATCCCTCGTATTTTACTCAACATTTGCGTCTCCGAGGCCACGATCCCTTGTAAATTGCTCCACGTTCGCGCCCTCGAGGCCACGATCCCGCTAAATTTACACCGCATTCGCGCCCCGAAGCCACGATCCCATGCAATTTAAATTATTTTCGCGCCCCCGAGGCCACGATCCCTTGTAAATTACACCAAATTCGCGCCCCTGACGCCACGATCCCTTGTAAATTGTGCAGCGGGCGCGCCCCAGAGGCCACGAATCCGCCTTGCGGAGGCTGCCGAAAAGGCGCTCCCCCTCTCCAAAGCAGAGAAACGGCAATTTTCTGTATAGGGATATGTGCTCCGCTGGTATTCTTTTGCCCCCCCCCTGGAAAATTCCGCGGTGGGCTCCACATTCACCCCCCCAGGCCACGATCCCTCGTAAGATACACCACATTTGCTCCCCCGAGGCCACGATCCCGCGTGAATTACGCCACATTCGCGCCCCCGAGGCAACGATCCCTCGTACATTACGCCGCTGTCGCGCCCCCCAGGCCACGATTCCATATAAATTACGCCACATTCGCGTCCCCGAGGCCACGATCCCCCGCAAATTACACCAAATTCGCGCGCGCCCACCACGCTACGAATCCACATCGCGGAAGCTGCCCAAAGGCGCCACTCCTTCTCCAGAGCAGAAACAAATAACCTTCCCAGAGATTGCCTGAAGCAATCCCCAGCCGTTCCCAGAGCGCTTCCAGTGAACAAATGGAGGAGAATGCCAAGAAGGCAACAAAGCGTTCAACAACAACTTCAACATCTCAATCTGTTTTGCTCATCGCCAGCCGCCCTAGCAACAGAGCGCCGAAAACGAAAAAGAGCCACCGAACACCGCAAGGGAGCGACAGCCAAGAGGGCGCGCCGAAAACCGAAAGCCGAAAGCCGAAAGGGCGCCGGAAACCGAAGGCACGGCGGAAATCAAAAGGACGCCGAAAACCAAAAGAGCGCCGAAAACCAAAAGAGCGCCGAAAAAAATCGCAAGGCCGCCAGAAACCACAGAGGCACCGCAAACCGGAAAAAGCCAAGAAAACCAGCGTAGCGCCGAAAACCAAAGCGGCGCCGAAAACGTACAGGAGCGCCAAGAATCAGAGCAGCGTCGAACACCAAACGGCGCCGAAAACCAAAGGAGCACCGAAACCCAAAAGGGCGCAACAAAAAAACAAAGGGTCGCCGGACGTGAAAAGGACGCTGGAAACAAAAGGGGCGCCGAAAACCAATAAGGCGCCGAGAACCACAGGGTCGCCAAACACCAAAAGGGCACCGAAACCCAAAAGGGTGCCGAAAACCAAAGGGGCGCCGAAAACCAAAAGGGCACCGGAAACCAAAAGGGCGCCGAAAACCAAAGGAGCGCCAAAAACAAAAGGGGCGCCAAAACACAAGGGCGCCAAGAACCAAAGGAACGCCGAACACCGAAAGGCTGCTGAACATCAAAAGGGAAACAATGGGGCACCGAAAACCAAAAGGGGGACGAACGAAAACACAAACGGGCACCGAAAACCAAAGATGCGCCAGAAACCAAAAAGGGGCGACTAAAAACCAGAGGACACCGAAAACCAAACGATCGCCGAAAACCAAGAGGGCGCCGAAAACGAAAGGGGCGCCGAACACCCAAGAGGAACCAAAAGGAGCGACGAAAACCAAAGGGGCGCCGAAAACCAACGAGGCGTCAAAAACTGAAGGGCGCCGAAATACCAAAGGAGCGCCGATAACCCAAAGGGCGCCGAAACGAAAGGGGCGCCGAAAACAACAAAGTTCCGAAGACGGATAGGGCGCCGAAAACGAACAGGACGCCGAAAACCGAAGGGGCGCCGAAAACCATAGGAACGCCAAAAACCAAAAGGGCACCGAAAATCGAAGAGGCGCCACAAACCCAAGGAGCACCGAAAACCAACGATGCGCCGAAACCCAAAAGGGCGTCGAAAAAACAAAGACGCGACGATAACCAAAAGGGCGTCGAAAAGCATGTAGCGCCGAAAACTCAATGCGCGCCGAAAGTCCAAGGGCGCCCAAAACTAAATGGGCGCCGAAAAGCAAAGAGCGCCGAAACCCAAAAGGGCGCCGAAAACTAAAGGGCGCCGAAAATCAAAAGGGCGCCGAAAACCAAGAAGGCGCCGATGACCAAAAGGGCGTCGAAAAGCATGTAGCGCCGAAAACTCAATGCGCGCCGAAAGTCAAAGGGCGCCCAAAACTAAATGAGCGCCGAAAAGCAAAGAGCGCCGAAACCCAAAATGGCGCAGAAAACTGAAGGAGCACCGAAAATCAAAAGGGCGCCGAAAACCAAGAGGGCGCCGATGACCAAAAGGGCGTCGAAAGTCATATAGCGCCAAAAACCCAAGGCGCGCCGAAAATCAAAGGGCGCCCAAAACTAAATGGGCGCCGAAAAGCAAAGAGCGCCGAAACCCAAAATGGCGCAGAAAACTAAAGGGACGCCGAAAATCAAAAGGGCGCCGAAAACCAAGAGGGCGCCGAAAACCGAAGGGATGCCGGAACCCAAGAGAGCGCCGAAAACAGAAGGGGCGCCGAAACCAGAAGGGGAACCAAAAACCAAAAGGGGCGTCGAAAAGCAATGGAGCGTCGAAAACCCCAGGGGAGCCGAAAACCACAGGAGCGCCGAAAACCAAAGGAGCGCCGAAAACAAAAGGGGCGCCAAAGAACGACGTTTCCTGGCCCCGGAACCGTGGAAGATGATGCGACTCATCGGGGATCTACTGACCTGGGCCAATCCAGACCCAGGTCAGGTAGGCCTTGCAGGACACTGCCGGATCCTGCACCCAAATCCGGGTCAATGCGACTCTGGCACTGCAGGATCCTACATGAGCTGGCGCTCTGACTCACCCACGTTTGCATTGACCCCCGTCTCTTGGGCCCCGAACTCAGGATGAACATCTGGTCCCAGGAAAGTGGTTGAAGCCCCTGGGGCCGACGTCACGAAAAAAGGTGCAACGTCCAGGGATGGTGGCCCGAGACATTCGAAAAATCAAAAAAAAAAACTGAGCCCGATTAGGACACCATCAGGCCAAATGATTGCGACCGGGATTGATTTCGACAAGGCTGGACCAGGAGGGGAGGATTCAACGGGACTGTGCAGGATAGGCCGGTCTTCCATCCACGGAGATGCCAGCGCCGATGCTGAATTCTCCTCCTCCTCCTCCTCCTCCTCCTCTCCTCCTCCTCCTCCTCCTCCTCCTCCTCCTCCTACTCCTCCTCCTCCACCTCCTCCTCCTCCTCCTCCTCCTCCTCCTCCACCTCCGCCTCCGCCTCCGCCTCCGCAACCTCCCAGGAGATGCACTCTGCTGTGAGGGAAAAGGGGCCGGAGGGTGCTCATCATGAGCCGAGGCCATAATGCGCGGACGAGTAGGGGCCAGGGAACGTCCAGGAAGAAGAGAAGGGGGCCATACAATCATGGCCTCCTCCTCCTCCTCCTTCAGCTCCTCCTCCAACTCCTCCTCCTCCTCATCCTCCTCTTCCTCCTCCTCCTCCTCCGGCTCCCCCTCCGCTAATCATTCTGTCTTTACGGGTGCCCTCGCGGGAGGGCCTCTTGGGATGGGGATGGGTGGGTCCCGTTCGCCGCCGTTGTCGGCTCGACTCCTCCCGTGAGCTTCTGGGAGCTCTCGTCGTCACGGCTGGACCTGCATCGACGAAACTGCGGACCGATCTTGAGAGGATAGATCTTGAGGGGACTCTGCGGAGCCGACCGTTGCGGGCGGGGTGCACTCTACAAGCCTGGGGCCTTTCACTCAAGGAAATTGAGAGGTCGGGCTTCTCCTGACCCGGGGTCGATACAAACCGAGGTCAGTCAGGCTTTGCAGGATCCTGCAAGATCCTGCAGGACCCTGCGCCCAAGCCCGGGTCAGTGCACCCCTGGCTCTGCAGGATCCTGCGAGGTCTGGCGCCCTGGCTGACCCCCGTCTGCATTGACCCCCGTCTCGAGGCCCCCGCAGGGGGAACGTTGGGGCGGGACTCTGCGACACGTCGCCGATACAACGGCGACAGGTCCCAGGCAGCGGCTCCGCACGCTCCTGGGAGGGGTGGGCTCGCATGGCCCTCTCGGCGATCCTCAGGCGAGGGGGGGCCGATGCTTCCCACCCTTGATGGAAGGACACCTGTCCAACACATGAACGCCTGCCATCGCTCGGACGTCCATTCCCTGTGTTTTGTTCGGTTTCGTGCGTGTTTTTTTCGCCAAATGATCAAGGATGCTCCTCGATGGTCCTCGACGAAGGACAAATGCACACGTCCGAGCGATGCCAGGAACGTTGGGAGGTTCGTGCGAACTTCTTGGTCCTTGCCGCGCGGAGCGCGCCAGGGGCGGCGTCGGAGGCGCCGCCAGAGGGGTCCAGCGCAGATCCAGGAGATCAGCGCGGACCTACGACAGCTTGTGCTTACGCAGTGTTATGTTTCGATGCTTCCAGCGAGCGACACGTGCCCCCCTCTCCTCGTCATGTTGCACCTTCGGGGTGGTACTTCTCTGTCCCATTGTGCTGCTACCCACGCCGAGCCCATGTCGAAATCCATGTCGGATCCGCGCTGGATCCGCATCGATCCCGCGCTGGGCGCAAGATAAAGATACCAGACTTCGGGGGTTGCTAAAGTTGCCCCTGGCCGAAGATACCACCAGCTTTTCGCTCGATGTTGGAGCCCCTGCGGCCATCTGAGCCTCGTGATGGGGTGCTCCAGAGGCCGTGGGGGCTCCTTGGAAATCCTGGGGACACCCTGGGCCAGGGGCACTTCCAACAATGACAGAGGGGAGGAGGAGGATGAGGCGGAGGCGGAGGCGGAGGGGGGGCAGGGGGGGGGGAGAAGGAGGAGGAGGAGGAGGAGGAGGAGGAGGAGCAGGAGCAGGAGCAGAAGGAGGAGGGGGCACCCGGAAAATACAGCGTGCTCATCGGCACAGTGGCGGGGGCCGCGAAGGGGGGCTGCGGCGCCCTAGCTCGCCGCTCTGCATCCCGTTGTTGATCAGCTCGATGATGCTCAGCAGTATCTGGCAAAGAGCATGCTTGTTTCTACGGCTCGCGTGCACGGCCGTCACCAGGGATGCTCCTGCCCTCCTCCCCACAAACGCGGTAATGCCACGGCTCGCCCCAGCGCCGCCTGGGAGAAGCTATGATGACGGTGGCGATGATCGCAAGAGTGTCCGCGGGGGGGGACGAAGCGGGGCGAAACAGGAGCGCCAGAAAAATCAAATAGTCTGAAGCACCAGGCAAGGGCATCGCGGCTAGCAGGCTCATTAACGATGTTCACTGTGTACAAAACTATGCTCGAAATAATATTACTTTGAAATTCTGGAAATGGATAGGGGTAACTACGGTAGGTTCGTGCGGCGTCGGCGCGCAATAGGTTTCACACACCGCGTCGATCGTTCAACCTTGCATCGATCGCGGCCCCGATCGTTCAAGGCTGAACTCTGTCGGGTCCAATGGCGTCACCGCGCCCCTCAACGCTGACGCGCCGCAGTCTCCGACCTTGAGCGCCTTCGCCAGCATCGCCGGCCAGCCAACGCAGCATGGATAGAGGAAAACAACCACGGCATAACATAATCTGCGCTTGGCGTGGGCCTCCGTCGCCACCCCTGGCACGCTCCGCGCGCCAGGGAAGGAGGGTCCCTGGCGCGGATCCGAGACATACGGGCGGAGCACCAATAAAGTTTCTGCCTATGACGTTTTTAGTTCTACGAGCTGACTACATACCACGCCATCCTAACCCAACGAGAAGACTTAAATTTCGAGTTGGGGGGGGTACGGGTTCCCTTTTTTCAATGCTCCCCTCCTCCCCTCCTCCTCTTCCTCCTCCTCCTCCTCCTCCTCCTCCTCTCGCCCCTCCCTAGCAGCGGCTCTTCTTGCCAAGGGATGCACAACGCGGACCATATGGCGCCGCCTGCCTTTCCTCCGACGCCCCAGCTCCGCTCTCCTCGCGCCGTGGACACCAGCCACGGCTGCCGCTGCTGCCCATCCTGCTCGCCCCCACAAAGGCCTCGGGGCCTCGTTGCTGGGCCCCGGGGCCGCCGACAAACGTCGGGGATGTTTTGGCCTGGGTCAATCCAGCCCCGGGTCAGTCAGGCCTTGCAGAATCCACCCAAGCCCGGGTCAACGCGAAGGATCCTGCAATCCAGACCCGGGCCAGTCAGGCCGTGCAGAGTCCACCCAAGACCGGGTCGATGCGAAGGATCCTGCAGGATCCTGCACCCAAGCCCGGGTCAGCAACCCTGGCCCTGCAGGATCCTGCGAGATCGGGCGCTCTGGCGGACCCCCGTTTGCATTTTAACACCCGTCTCAAGGCTCCCGAAAACGACACAGGAGGAGGAGGAGGAGGAGGAGGAGGAGGAGGAGGAGGAGGAGGAGGAGGAGGCGGGGCGCCTTCGTCCGCGCTCTCGCCCCGAAAACTGGTCCCCAGACCTCCGAGGGGCCACGCTACGACAAACATCGCGGCGTCGGTCGCAAATCGGCCCTGCGCACCCGCGGCCTGCGGGCGGCATCCCCTGACCCAGGCCAAGGGGGCAGGGGGGGGTCGCGCAAGGCCGCGACGCTGCAGAGGGAGGGGGAAGGAGGGGAAGGAGGAGGAGGAGGAGGAGGAGGAGGAGGAGGAGGAGGAGGAGGAGGAGGAGGAGGAGGAGGAGGGAGGAGGGGAAGGAGGAGGAGGAGGAAGAAGAATAATGAACACAAGCCGGCGGCGGTTGGCGGCGCGCACAAGGGGGTAGGTTGAGGGGGGGAGGCTTCTTAGAAGGAGGCTGCTTCCTAGAAGGCGCGGACGCTACATATACAGACAAGGCTCGCGCCTTCTAAGCAGCAGGGATGTTTCTAAGAAGCCTTACCCCTTCCCCCTCCCCTCATTGCACCAACCTTGCAGACGTGCTGCAGCGGATTGTTGTAGATTTCTGTCAATGCAAAACCCCGAAACGGCGAACGAAAAAAAAAGTGAATTCCACGTGGATGTTTTGTAATCACATCGAGATCCGGAGCGCAATTCTCCAGGACTATCCAGGCCCATCCCAACGTTTTCCGAGCGAAATGTTGGGTCGGGCGTGTACTCCTACGGGCGGATTTTGGACGAAGACTTAAGACTCAAGACATGTTCGAATGCGTTCGAAAAGTATTCGACCGCTCCGCGATGTTGGCGCCAGGACCTACCCCCCTCTGCGCGTGGCCGAGGCGGCGTCGGATGCCTGGGACGTCAACGGGTGCCTCCTTCTCCTCCTCCTCCTCCTCCTCCTCCTCCTCACAATCCTCCTCCTTTTCCTCCTCCTTCTCCTTCCCCTCCTCCTCCTCCTCCTTCTCCTCCTCCTCCTCCTCCTCCTCCTCCTGTTCACTATCCTCCTCCTCCTCCTCCTCCTCCTCCTCCTCCTCCTCCTCCTCCTCCTCTTCCTCCGCCTCCTCCTCTTCCTGCCAGTGGGGTCCTCAGCCTCCCTGGCAGAATTGGGGCCGGTCAGCCTCCGGCGAGGCCCGTCCAAGAGGGCCCCGGGGCCCTCGCCGTCCAGGGAGACTACAAAGTGGCAGCGGGAACTTGGATTTGAATGTGAGTTCCAATCCAATGTTGAACCAGTCCAAAAACGTCGAGATAGTTAAACATATATCCATATAGTATTTCCATATATAGAAACATAAGAACATGTACATGCATAAATACAGGAGTACATATACACACATTCATACATGCATGCATGCATACATGCATCCAGTCATCAAATCATGCATGCATGCATGCATGCATAAATGCATACATGCATGCATGCATGGATACATGCATACACACATACATACATACATGCATACATGCATACATGCATGCATGTATACATGCATACATACATACATACATGCATACATGCATTCATGCATGCATGCATACATGCATACATGCATACATGCATACATGCATGCATGCATGCATGCATACATGCATACATACATACATGCATGCATGCATGTATGCATACATACATACGTGCATGCATACATACACACATACACACAAACATACCTACATACATACATACATACATACATACATGCATGCATACATACATACATACATACATACATAAATACATACATACATACATACATGCATACACACATACGTACATACACACATGTCTGCTCACCTACCTACCTACCTACATACATACATGCATGCATTCATACAGATACACATCCATACACACATCCATCCATACCTACATGCATGCATGCATGCATCCATCCATACATACATGCATACATACATGTATACTTACATATATACATCCATCCATCCATGACGCATGCATGCATGCATTCATCCATGCGTGCATACGTACGTATATACAGACAGGCAGACAGACAGACAGACAGACAGACATATGTGTACATGTGTAGTTATGTATAGATGTACATCTACATCGACGTACTCTTATGTAAACACATGGATCGAGATGGCTGGTCATCAAAAGCGGCCCCAGCTGAGCAGTGTTCGTCCCTGGGATGGAGTCGAGGTCGAGAGGTCGTGGGGCCTACCACAGAAACGCCCCGAGAGGTACCTTCGGGCGCCCCAGCGAAGCGACATGGCAGGTACCTTCGAGTGCTCCACGGCAGTGACCGGGCAGTGCTCCACGGCAGTGACAAAAGAGACGTCATGGCAAGCAATCCGGGCGCACCGAGGAAGCGTGCGGGCTCATTCCCAAACACCAGAACGTGGGCTGTCTGCCCCCTCTGGCCCCCTGCCCTGCACGCGGCGAACGCGTGCGAAGTACGTAGAAGAACCAGCGTACAAACGCAGAGACGACGGGATGAACAACAAGAAGCTCCCCCAGAACACTCTATGTTCTTGAGGCGTGCTACTACTGAACGAGCCCCGAGATCGTTTCACGACCCCCTTCCCAGTCCAGTCACTGGCATTGGAGCGTCCCCACCAACAATCAAGCCCATTCCCTGATCTCCCTATGCCTCTCCTCTGCTCCTCTTTCCCGTCCCCCTCCCTCGCCCTCTCCAGGCTCTCGCCTCCCTCCCCTCCATTGCGATACCTTCCTCGTCTCGCTGCATCTCTATGTGCGCGTGCGGCTTCGCTGTCCCTGACGCTCTGCTCCCTTCTCCGTCCTCTTCCCTCGTCGCCTCCGCTCGCTTATCTAACCCCTCTCCTCCTCTTCCTCCCTCCCCCTTTATCAGCGTGAGAAAGATCAACTTACGCATGGAGCTTCGGAAGTCCGCGCCGACTCCGTGGGTCGGCGCTGGGCCCCCCTGGCGGCACCTTCCGCGCCGACCCCGGCGCCGCCCCTGGCGCGCTCCGCGCGCCGGGGACAAAAAGGTCGGGCGCCGACTCGGCAACTCCGCGCAAACATACGATCAGATCCGTGCATCCAAATGTTCCGCATTTGGCGTCCTCGAGCTCGCCCTCCCGGCCATCCGCCCCCGGAGGCTCGTGATCCGAACCCTGCTCTGGATCCCCGAGGCGGGACGCGCCCACCGGAATCCCGCAGCGATACAGTCGGGGCCTTGACCTAAGGAACCCTAAATAAGGAACGAGGCCCCTTGTTCCAAGAAGTTAAGTTCTGACTTCCCATGGACAACGAAAGGAACACCCAAGGCAAACTGTACAACTATCAAGGAACACCGAACCCCTCCCCAACGAAAAGGGTTTCTTCTTCAGCGCCCCGACTGCACGTGCTCCGGCGGGCGAAGGCCCGCGAAAGCTGCGGCCGCAACGCCCTCTCGAGAACCGAGGAAAGGGTCCTTCGCTGGTCGCCTCGGCAAGGTGTCTGGAGGCTCCTCCTGGGAGGCTGTCGTCAGACCGAGCACGCGTCGGTCGAAAGAAGCAGGCCAACACATGGGGCAGGGAGGCGGATCGGATAGATCGGGTTCGGGTCCTCCCAGAGAATGGCAGAGCAGAGCAGAAGCACATCGATTCTTGGACCAGGGAGGGCGCTTGAAGTAGATTGGAATCTGGGAGTCCAACAATCCGAAAATACCTAATTTCAACGACCGGCGTGTAAAGGCTATTAAGCCCGATTCAAGGGCCTGTGAGCCGGATTCGTCCGGACGATCGCCAGATAGGGCCAGTTCTCGACCAGGGATATACTAGCGCCGAGTCTGAAGTTAACCTCCCAAGAGTTGCATCCCCTGACGGGGGTGGCTTCTGGGGACACCAAAGGGTACCGATACCGCTACTCCCCAGACCTGTTCCAGGGTGCGTTCTGACCAGGAACTCGATGCGAGTCCAGCGGGGGTGACGAGGGCCTCCCGGGAGCCCCGAAAAGTCGAAAACGAGAGAAGGGTAGAGGTGTGGGCACCTCCTCCTCTAAGTTCTCGACCAGGGACATACCAGCGCCGAGTCTGAAGTTAACCACCCAAGAGCTGCATCCCTAGGGGGGGCTTCTGTCAGCCGCCGCTGCGCTCATGAAAGATCCTCTCTTTCTTCAACGCCCAATCATTGCTTCTCCGAAGGTTTGGGCCTCATTTTGCCTGAAAAACACGACTGTCGGCATGCTTCGCTAGAGTTGCTGTTTTGAGATGGGCTGGTGGGGATACGCGAAGCGTGAAGAATTCTCAACCAGGGATATACCAGCGCCGAGTCTGAAGTTAACCACCCAAGAGCTGCATCCCTAGGGGGGGCTTCTGTCAGCCGCAGTACGGCAAGCAGCAAATATCGGGGACGGACAGACCCCCCTTTAGTAAAACGTGGTTTAGTGAAAACGACCTGAGGCCCAAACCTGGCGGGCGCAAGCCTGGAAAATAACGGCCACGGCGCTCTCTCGAGAACCGAAAACGGACAATTCACTAATCGACGTGTCACTGTTGGGGGTTTTGTCCACCCCCGATCTAAGTTCTCGACCAGGGATATACCAGCGCCGAGTCTGAAGTGTTAACCACCCAAGAGCTGCATCCCCAGGGGGGGCTTCTGTCAGCCGCCGTACGGCAAGCAGCACATAGCTCCCTGACCCCGCCGTCCTCCGGCGCACTGGACCCCAGCGCCATGAGCGTCAGGTTGGCAACGGTGGGGTTCCAGACGTAGTACGTCCTGCTGCCGCGGGGTGAGGAGCAGGGAGGAGCCTCCTCCTCCTCCTCCTCCTCTTTTCCTCCTCCTCCTCCTCTTTTCCTCCTCCTCCTCCTCCTCATCGCGTCGTTTTCTTCCTCTCTTCCTCTTTTTCCTCCTCCTCTTCCTCCCTTCCTCCTCTTCCTCCTCCTTCTCCCCCCTCTCAAGGCAATCCGCTCGAGGTGCCCCTCCTTTGACCCCCTGCTGCAATCGCAGGATCAATCACCATCGACTCGAGAAACGGCATCGGCTCGGAAGGTGCGTCGGATCGGGCCGGATCGGCAAGGGGCCCGACATCGAAGCAGAGCGGCCAGAGCACTTAAGCCACCAGAACCATGCAAACACTCGCCATCGCTCGGACTTCCATTCCCTGTGCTTTTTTCGGTTTCGTGCGTGGTTTTTTCGCCAAATGATCAAGGATGCTCCTCGATGTTCCTCGCCGAAGGAAAAATGCACACGTCCGAGCGATGCCAAGAACATCGGGCCACGCTGGATGGTCAGACTACCTTCAAGGCCCCAAAACGTTGCGGTGACAGACCGTGCGATGGCCTCGCAATCCCCAAGAACTTCGCCACACGCTCCGTCACCGCACGGGGTAAGGGTCTCGGATCCCCCAATCGCCCGAGAGATCCTTGGAAAAATACCCGAGTCCCAAAGCCGTGCGGTCACTCCGAATCCCAACTAACTCACAACACGGTGTGGTCACCGCGCAGTCTGTTGGGCCCTGGTATCGGCTCAGGAGGCCACAAGAGGCCCCCAAGAGGTCCCCAAGAGACTCCCAAGAGACCCCTCAGAGGCCCCAAGCGGCTTCCACGAAGCATCCAAGACGATCCAAGAGGACCTGGAACCGCCAAGAGGCCCCCAAAACGCTCCAAGAGGACTCCAAGAGGCATCTTGATCGTCTACTCGCCCTCCTCCTCCTCCTCCTCCTCCTCCTCCTCCTCCTTCTCCTTCTGTTCCTTATCCATAGGTATATGTCTATATAGATAGAGAGAGAGAGAGAGAGATTCCTCCTCCCTTCTCCCTCCTCCCCCCCTCCCCTTCCTCCTTCTGCTATTCCTCCTCCCATTCCTTCTCCATCATCCCCCTCTCGGGGTAGGTAAGACGGCTTCCCCAGCCTCTTACTTCACTGCATGCTACTGCACATCCCTGCTCAAGGCAACTCGCCTAGGCATCGTTTCTGGACAGGCTGGTGGGGTTACTTTTTGGTTCGCGGCTCCAAGGCGAGGGACTTGAAGCGGGTCAACGTCCGGGGCGCGGAACGAAGATAGATGGCAGCAGTGGCGAATGCACGTGCCAGGGACAAAATGACTCTCATTAAGACGCAGACGGCGTCGGCAGGTGACCGGCTCCGACATCCCGGCAGGTGGGGACGCAGAGGCGCGGCGACCAGCGGCGGAACGGGGGGGAGAAGTCGCCCTTTCGGCGCCAAGCTCCAGCCGAACCACAAACGGGGGCGAGGCCAGGACGGACGGCGCGGCACAGTGAAGATGCAGGCAGAACGAGGGTCCGAATGGCCACTGGCCAAACGAAGCCAACAAGCGTGCACACAGAGACGGGCTGCCCAAGACCACGGCAGAGGGGGGGGAGGGAGCAAAAGCGAGCGACAACCACAGGCTCACTGCAGCACACCGCGTAAATGATGGTGCGGCAAAACGGGGCCTGACTCATCATGGGCTGGTGGGGTTACGCGAAGCGTCTGGAATTTCAAGGCGGATCAAAACATGGCGACGAAGATTTCTTTGGATGCCCAAGAAAAAAAGGAGAACGTCCATGCCCGGTCCAGCGTTCGCAACACGGGAGAGTCATGGCCGTTGTAGCTTCGTGCTACCAGATTCCCCCGCACAATAACTGCAAGGTTGCCAAATCTTCACGCTCCGAGCTCCGCGATGCGCAATGCGCGGCTGCTTCCCATCGCGCCACTCCGTTCTTCATCAGATCCAGGCCGAGACGGAGACATCCCTGAAAAATAGATGCCGTAGAGAGAAGGATGGGCAACTGCACATACGGAAAGAGCACAGAGACAGAAACAGAGAGAGGAGAGAGAGAGAGAAGAGAGAGAGAGAGAGTGCGAGAGAGAGAGAGGGGGAGAGAGCGGAGATAGACACCATTGAGAGAGGGAGGAATACACAGACCCATGTAGAGAGAGAGAGAGAGGAGGGAGAAGAGAGAGTGATTTTGGACACGTGGACCAGAGAGACCACAGAGATTACAGAGAAAGAGTAAGAGAGAGAGACACACACAAAAGAGAAAGAGAGAGAGAGAGAGAGAGACAACTTGCAAGGCTGGGCGCGCCTGAAGCGATCCCCCTCTTTCAGCCGGACCTGCCCGCCCTTCCATGGAGAATGGCAGCGATTGCACTCCGCCTCCGCCTTGCCGCTCTGCTCATCCTCCTACGAAGACCTTCACTTCGTGAGCATCGCTCTTTTGGCGATCCACTCACTGGAATCCGTGTGCCTTACTCTACTCATCAGCCCACTCCTTCTCAGACCACGCGCTCGACCTGCTCGTCAATATAATGCGGCACGAGCTGTACTGCTTCATCGCAAGACATGCCTGCTCCACAGACCAAGATGCACCAGGCCGATGCAGCAAGCATAGGCGTAAACAGGACACCCTTCCCGCTCGCCTTCTCGGACGTAATCTTTTCGATGGCGGCCATGAAGACATCGGCGATGAAGGCGACCCCGGCGAAACAATACATCAGGCCGCCGAAGATCAGGACAGCCTCTGGGGAAAACCAGACGTGGCAGAACATGGCATGGCCCCCAGGTCGGGCGTGTCCCCCATGCAGGCGGATTTTGGCGGATAAATGAAAATAATCAAAAATGGTTTGAACACAAATATTTAAATCATAAAAATGTCCCCAGACTATTTTGGAATATGCTTGAAGATTCCTCCTGTAGAGGGACACGCCAGACTCAACACGTGGACTTGCCGTCAACAGTAGTCAATACATAGCCTGGGGACGATTTTTCGACAAACTATGTTTGTGTGTGTGCTTGCTTACTGTATGTTTGGAATATGTTTCACGTTTCGTCCCAAATCTGCCTGTAGGAGGACTTGCCCGACCTAACTCCGACGGTCCTCGCCGAGAGAACAATGCACACGTCTGGCCGACGCCAAGGGCATCGACTTCACGCAAGAGCGACCCTGGGTAAGAGTGACCTTGGCGCGGCCTCTTGGGAGCCGCGTGGCAGCCAGACCCGAGCTCGCCAGAAGCTGCGACCGCCTCGCGTCGAGTCCCTTTGGGGCCCCCCGTGTGCCCGCACCAGAAGGTCACACCGGCGAGAGGTGACTCTTACGTCCAGTCGAGGACACGGCACGGCCCCCAGACCCCCGACGTCGCTACTTTGCCACGGCGCGGGCCACCCCAGAGGGCGGGACCCCCTCCCCAGAGACGGAACCTGCACCCCGAGCCGTCTCCGGGCAGCCCCGGAGCCGGGCGCGGGGCCCCCGGGGCAGGCCACTGCCGAAGACGGAGCATCCCGCCACGACTTTGCTCACGACGCGAGGGGGGTCTGGGCAGTTCGGAAGGGAGCAAGCAGCGGTGCAGAAGAGAGGCCGAGGGGGGACGTTGAGGGGGGGGGGCTGGCCCAGACGTGGCAAGCATCAGCTTGGAAACGTCGAAGCGTGGCTTCTTCGCTGCGTGGCTCGCCACACAAGCCGACGAGATCTCGAGCCCGTCGTTGCCCCCTGAGAACCAGCCTCGAACGTATCGCTACCCCTACGTCTGGCAGCAAGCCCAAGGCGATGAGAACCTTAAGGATGTGCCCTCGGAAACTGAAGGAATCCTTCCGATCGGCACCGAGGTGAGGCGATGCCAAACATAGGGATAGGGATCTGTTTCAAGCTGGTAACGTGGCGTCGCCCCCTGCCGATGCTGGGAGGGGCTCGATGTACACACCACGTCGTTTGGTCGGCCAAGGGGCTCGGTGTACAGACGCCCCAGCGGCCCAACCTGTGGTATTCTGTAGCGTCTGCACACCGAGCCCCTTCGTCGAAATCATTGGCTCCTTTGTCGACCAAACGCCGTGGCGTGCACGTGGAGCCCCACGGAGGCCCTGGGTGACTACCGAATTTCCAGTGAGGCTCCCATGTCAGGTGCTCGTCTTCCTGGAGCCACTCGCTCCATTCATGCGCCGATGGTGCGTCGAGCACCCGTCGCCGTGGGCCGAAACTGAATTGAACTTCGGTCGAGCTAGAGTCGAACAGATCTGGTTGGTGGGCCCCAGGAAGCTTCCCAGAACGACCCGCGGGCACGCATCTAATCCACGGGCCCCAGAGCACCCACCACGACGCCCAGACAGCCACAGGGGCTCCCCAGTGGAGCGAATGGCTGGGGACACCTTCAGCAGCCCCCGACGTCCGCACAGGGACCCGTGCGCCCCTCGCGTCGTGAGAAAACAACGCCTGCAGCTTGAACGTACTGGCGTTACTGTGTAATCCCGCCAGCCCTTCAGGGCGTAGGTGGTCTAGAGAGTGTCCTATTCCGACCCCCTCTCCCCCTTCGGGGAGGGGTTTGCCCCTCCCCCCACCCCCTCCCCTGGACCTGGACGGGGGCGGTCGCGAGCGGTAAGAGCGTCCAAGATGGCCCAAGACGGCTCCAAGAGGGCCTCCAAGATGACCTCCAAGATGGTTCACGATAGCCCGAACTGCCTCAAGATGGCGTCCAAGATGCTCCAAGAGGGCCCAAGAAGGTTCCAAGACGGCTCCAAGAGACATCCGAAACATCCAAGGAGGCCTCCAAGAGGCCACAATCCTTCCAAAACCGAAGGGACACGAATGATTGTTGCCTTCTCGCCTTTTCGCTTTCGATGGCAATCCGAGGCCTCAATATAGCTCCAAGATGGCCAAAGAGGGCCCCAAGAGGGACCCAAGAGAGCCTCAATATGGCCGCAAAAGCGCCCAAGTGCGCTCCAAGAACGCCCCAAGAGCGCCCCAAGAGGCGACGTTTGAGGCTCCCGAGGGGCAACGCTAATTGAGGACCCCCCCCTCGTTTGATCGATGCCCTCCAAGATGGCCCCAAGAGTGTGTCTAAGGCTCCCAAGAGCGCCCAAAGAGGGCCCCAAGATGCACCCAGACGGCCCCAATAGGCGCTCAAGAGACCTCCAAGAGGCTCCCAAGAGGCCCCCCCGAGGCATCCAAGGCGCGCAAGAGCCCCCCGGGACCACAAAGAGACCCCCTAAGACGTCCCAAGAGGCCTCCAAGAAGCGCCCAAGAGATATCCCAAGAGGCTCCGATAGGCATCCGAGAGACCTCTGGCCCTTCTGCTTGCCTGCCTCCTCCTGCTCCTCCTTCCTCCTCCCACTCCTTCTCTTCCTCATCCTCCTCCTCATCCTTCTCATCATCCTCATCCTCATCCTCATCCTCATCCTCATCCTCATCCGCATCAGCATCAGCATCAGCATCATCATCACCAGCAGCAGCATCATCATAATCATCATCATCGTCATCGTCATCGTCATCGTCATCGTCATCGTCATCATCAGCATCAGCATCAGCATCAGCATCAGCATCATCATCATCATCAGCAGCATCATCATCAGATTCGTCTTCCTTCTCCCCACTCCCTCATCCATCCATCCAACCTCCTCCTTCTCCTTCTCCCTCCTTCGCACGGTTCGGCCGTCCCCCTCTTGCTCCCACACCTCCCTGATCACCTCAACTCGACTGGACATCATTTCTGGATGGGCTGGTGGGGATACTTTTTTGGTCGGCGGCTCCCAGGCAACGGTCAAGGAGCGAAAGCGGCGTCCGGGTGGCGGTACGGGGCAAATTTGCAAGACAATTTGCCGCCAGAGTCGGCCAGCTGGTGGGGATACGCGGAGCAATTAGAATTAGCACAGGCCCCCAAATGCAGATGAATGCACAAACACATAACATTCCACGCTTGTTCCGTGTACCTGCGGGAGAAGCTTGCTGAAGCCCGCGGCAATCAGACTCAGGGTGGAAAAGCTGGTCCTGGGAGGATGGGTCTGGATCTCTGGGGGAGCCCGCACTATGAGAAAAGATCACGGCGTCGAGGAACCGGGGACGGGACAGAACTGTCGTAGGCGTACGGGACAGCTCAGCAAGCGCCAGTCGTAGGTGATCATGTTGGTCTGGGTTTGTCTGAGGGGGGGGACCAACTTTTTGGAGGACCCCCCGAGTCGACGATGCGGCACGTCAATTCGGCACGTCAAATCAATTCGTCAACTCGCGTCGGTGCGTCGGCTCGGTACGTCAACTCGATCCGTCAACTCGGTCCGTCAACTTGGTCCGTCAACTCGGTGCGTCAACTGGGGTCCAGAATGCTCTCCCCAGAATACAGCCTCCTGGGGGCGGAGGTTCTGACGAGGGAGGCGATATCTGCCACCCAGACGCACACTCGCGGAGCCTCGTATGTCCCACTGGGCCGATATCCGCGTCGAGCCCACGTCGAACCCGCACGACCGGGAGGAGGCAGCGGCGGAGGAGGGGGAGGGGAAGGGGCAGGGTTAGGTCGGGCCTGTCCCCCTACAGGGGGATTTTGGACGAAAAATAAAAAATGCTCAAAACAATACTCCAATGATGCCCAACAATATGCAAAAAATAGTCCCCTGACCATGTATTGACTATCATTGAATATTCCCCCCTGTAGAGGGACAGGCCCGACATAAGGACATAGGGGGAGGAGAGAGGGCACCTACCTGTCTGGGGCGGCCGGCGTGCTCATGCAGAGGTGGCCTGAGCGGGGGTCCCAGCCCTCCCGGGGCGGGAACTGCGACCCACCTCCACTCTTAGGTCGGGCATGTCCCCCTACAGGAGGATTTTGGACGAACAATTAAAAATAGTCAAACAATCATTAAAAATATTCAAAACTGGTCAAAAAATCGTCTCCATACTATTTTTTGACAATTTTGGGACACTCCTCCTGTAGAGGGACAAGCCCCACTTACCTCTACTCGCCCACTTGCAGGGAGAGGCTCACGTTCGCCGTTCCGTCGGGTTGCTCTTGCCCTTCTCCCAGCGACACCGAGGGCAGGGCTGCGAGGGCTCCAGAGCTCCGTGTGACACAGACGAGTCCGCAACTCGACGCTCGAAGGGGAGGGGGGGGGGCAGGAGGAGCAAAAGGAGGGCGGAGGAGGCAGCGGCAGCGGGGGGCCAGGCGGAGGAGGGCCGATGCCGAACCGCGGCGGGCAGCGAAGCGGGCCTGCACCTCCTGGCCCCATGCCCTCTCCTTGGCGGCGCCGCGCGCGCGCGCTGCCACTTCCTCAGACCCTTGTTTCTCCTTCGCTCGCTTCTCGGCCTTATCCTGCTCCTCCTCCTCCTCCTGAATTTTCCTCGTGAGAACTTCCTATCTGTCGCACCCCCAGTCGTGTCGGTAGGGCGGGCAGGACGTTTCGCCTGAGACTCTCTCGCCATGCATGACCCTGAAATGTTTACTTGCAACCACTTCACGGATGGAGGGCAGGCCGTTTTCAAAATGTGGCTCGCCTCAGCGCCGCGCGCTGTCGTCAAAAGTGTTGCAACGGCTACGCGGATAGAGGACGGGTCGTTTTCAAGATAAGGACCTCGCTTGAGAGTCGCGAGCAGTGTCCAACGTTTTCAACAATTTCACGCATGCAGGGCGGGCCGTTGTTCAAGATTTGTCTTTCGCCTTCGCGCCGCGCACATTAGTCACATGTTGCAACAGCTTCACGGAAGGATGGCGGGCAGCTTTCGACATGTAACCCTCGTCTCAACACCGCGCACATTCGTCTAAAACGTTTGCAGCAGCTTCCCGGATGGAGGGGAGGTCGCTTTTCAAAACGCGGCTATCGTTTCAGCGCCGCGTGCATGTGTTTTACATGTTTTCAACAGCTTTCCGGATGGAGGGAGGGTCGCGTTTCAGGACGTGGCTATCGGTTCAGCACCGCGCACATTAATTTCCAAAGACCGTTACATGTTCAAGGAGGCATATCGTCAGAAACCAGGGATCGGTGTTCTGGCACGGATGAGCACTGTCAGAACCTGACAATCACTTTGCCTCGGATTGCCATGACGCAACACTCGCGTTGATCCGCGGCGCTGAAGTCCAAAAACTGTTTCATTGTTGCCGAGACGTGCGTTCTCTAATGGGCCACTTCCCGCAAAGAAAGCACCTGATTTTCTAGACACCTATGAAGGAATTTGGAAGGGGGGTCTATTGCGACATCGCTGGCGCGTCTCATCGGGGATCTTCTGACCTGGGTCAATGCAAACCCCGGTCAGTCAGGCATTATAGGATCCTGCAGGATCCCCCAAGATCCTGCACCCAAACCCGGGTCAGTGCGCCCTTGGCCCCTGCAGGATCCTGCAAGATCCGGCGCCCTGACAGACCCCCGTTTGCAACGACCCCATCTCTTGAACCCCGATCTCAAGTTTACACTGGTCATCCGCCTCCTCCTTCCACTCCTCCGCCTGCTCCTCCTCCCCTTCCTCCTCCTCCCCCTCCTCGTCCTCCTTCCTTCTTCCTCGCTCTCCCCCGTCCTCGCTCGAAGCCGCCGCGCGCGCCCTCCCCGATGTTAAGGCCCAGTAAGACGACCGGCGTGCTGACCCCCCCCCCCTTCGCGACAAGAGGTGCCTCGCGTATTCGTCGCCCGTGCGCCGCCCGTGCGTCGGCGCCGAAAAGGCCAGCCGTCGCCTCAAACGTGCGCGTCGCCCTCGCAAGGGGGCAATTTAATGAGTGCGTCGCCAGCGCGGCGGACACCCACGGGGCGGATCGCACGCGCGTCGCCCGCTCCACGGCCGCTGAAAAGGCCGGTCGCCTTCGGAAAAAGGAAAGTCGCCCACGCTGCGACCCTCTTGGCGAGAAGGAGGCGGCCGCTAGGCTACCTCGGCAGATCAGCAAATCCCCCTAACATTGCAAATGCAGCGACGCTGCTGAACGCACCCCAGCGCTAGGCCAGCAGGTCCCCGCAGCCGCCGCCACAGCCGCCGCGACCGCCGCCAGCGCCAAACCTACCACCGCCACGATCACCACAAACGGATGCGACCGCAACCACATCCACCGCGACGATTACGACCAATACCATTTACCACCATCACCGCCGCCACGACCGCCGCGCTTCTCACGACCGCCACAACGACCGACACCGGCACGATCACCGACGTGACCGCCACCAGCCCGCCCACCACCAGCGGCACGACCACCGCCAGCGCGACCAAGGCGACGAACGCACGACCATGATCACCAACATTTCCATTACAGAAGCACCCGCCCACTCCGTCCTCCCCCCTCTCCCCCCCGTTCCCCTGCCGGGCCGCCCTTGCCGCCGCGCCCGCCTCGCGCCCCTGCCCCCCCCTCCTTTTCTCCTCGTAATCTTCCTCTTCCACCGCCAGCGGCGGGGCCGTTCGCGGAAGGCGGGGGCGCCGCTCGCGGCGACGCGCCGCGGCCGCGGAAGGGGGGCCGACGGAGAAAACGAAAATGATGAGGGACACGGGGTGACAAGGGGAAAGGAAAACAAAAAAACGACAGAAAAAGGGGGGGGGACAGACAGAGGGAGGCCGGTAGAAAGGAGGAGGAGAAGGGGAGGAGAGAGAGAGAGAGAGAGAGAGAGACGAGGCAGGAGGGAGGACGAAGGAGGAGGAATGACGAAAGAGGGGGGGCGACG